TTGACCACTCAATAATTTTTGCTCGTCGCTCTTTTTAGTTTTATGCTTGACCGTCAAATCACGATCGTGCAAAATTCTTTTTCTTCTATAATTATCACACACTCTCTCCTCACACGAGTTATTCAATTGTCGAGTCGGAGGATCTTTTTTAGAATTTCTTTCTTGTCTATTTTGGCACATATTGCAATTCAAAAGATTGGATTGCCAATATTCCTGTGAATCACCAGTTGCATCTTGCTGTGTTAAATAATTTCCATAAACAAAATTATTTTCGGAAGCAGTAGGATGACTTGAATTTGTATAAGGATCTATAGCTGTTACATCTGACTCTTCAATATCACTTTCTGCAAATAAATTCTCAGATTCCATTTCATAACCTAGAATTGAGATATGTTCCATTCATATTGTATTAAGTCTCTCAACAAGAAATATGTACATAAAAAATATTTCATGTACAGATTGGTAAAGAAACTGTCAGTTCTTTGTATGTACCTGAAAGAAACCGAATTTGTGGAGATGGATCAACTGTCGATGTGAATGCCGTATCAAATATATCTGCCAATGACGTAGAGTTAGCTTCTACGGACGCGGTTGTGGACTCTCCTTGGAACAGTTCGCTTTGCTCTTCAGGTTTGCCCTTGTGCCAAACATTTTCTGAACTTGTGCTTTCCTCCATTCTACTTCTATTTTATGCCATAACAATACAGCGCATTAGGGCATAAGATTAACCAGACTCGAGTACATTCAGTTGCATAACATTAAAGCCGGAATATTCGCGAAAGCAAAATAATCGATTCTGTATCAGGATAGAATAGTACGCAAAATTAAAGATAATAAAAATTAATTCATTTTCGTGTATGTGCGAATCTAGAACGTCGATAATTCACATTAGAGAGTAGCCCTGACACATCGAAGGTTTTTCCGTTCTTCGAAAATGTTTGTACGTTACGCACGACTTTTCCGGGAACTATATCGGATTACAGGCAAGAAAAATCTAACTCGGGTATGGTTGGGGACGAGGAAAATTATTGGTCTACTTCCGGGATCTTGTACATTCACGCGATAAAATCTCGGATCGATAGCGCAATGGAATAATTTGGAATGCGCTAAAAGTGCATTTACCTTGTAATTCCTTCGACGCTCCCCCGTCAAGTGATAAGCGTATCTTCTCACCACGTTATTTTTATCAGATTTATTTTTCGTGATACCGCCGCCGTTTGTATCATGCTTTGTATACACAATTACGCACTGATATTACCTTCGTGACCGAAATACTACGAATTTGATTGAATTGCGATCCATGTAAAAACGTGGATATAATTAAATTCTTATGTCAGTAATAAAGATAATGAAATCGAAAAGAATTTATGTATAGACTGGCACAGACAGTTTCTTTAACGATGCACATCTGGCAACGGCGGTACTATCAATTGTGCTTCTAGCTAACTATGTTTGCTCCCCAGAAGTCCCTGCTGATCGTACAGCACGCTACCTTTCCAGCACTTTCCAAGTTTCCAGCAATAGGGCGACTGTTATCAACGCCGATTAGTCCATTGGAATTGACCAATCGCATTTATCATTTAGTTTTGACGAAAGACGCGATTGGTCAATTCCAATGGACTAATCGTCGATTAAGTGAATCGGCGTTGGTGAAAGAGGCCTTAAGATTTCTTATTCCTTATGCCTAGTTCATACTGGATGCGATGGGCGATGAACGACCAGCGATATCCAATAAAAGCTTTGCTTTTGTTCACACGACGATGTAAAGCAAAGTTCTTATTGGTTATCGCTCGTCGCGCATCGCTCATCGCGTCTAGTGTGAACTAGGCATTATTCCTAATGCCTTATTTCTTCTATTGTACCGTATGTACCTTAATAAATATCAAATAAAATGTCTAGTATATTTATATATTCGTCTGAGTGAGTAATGGACAAATTAAAAATTTGCCAGTAGAAGTGCGATATATCTTACTAACCAATAAGATGTGGCAATCGAGACGCGATTCTCGATTCAACGCTCTCGCAAGTTCGTGACACAACCGAGCCAACTTCGCGCGGTATCTCCTGCCTGTGTCTTTTCCTGGACTTGACCTTCTTGTTAGATTGTAGTGACTAGTACTTTCAATGGTGCTCCGGTGTTAATTCAATTTTGAGCGTTGCCTCCTCAGTGAAAAGGACAAACTAAAAGATGGCTGTGGCTGCCAGGTCATTTTCAAAATTCGCTGGTGGGTCTTCGCAGCGTATCCTCGTACGTCCCGTAATATCCTCGCGTTGAACCTTCGATGTTCTCTTTGACTTTTACACGTTTTAACAGCGGTACTCTCGAGATTTTTTTCTCCCGCTGATTACGCCATGCGTAGCTTATGAACAGACTAAAAATAATGCTGACAGCTCGCATTTATGATAACATTTTATTATATAAGGGAAGACATCGGGACTAAACTGCGCTTTATCGGGAAATGCGTGTTTTACTAATTAGGAACGATCTATGAGCTTGTATGCAAAACAATTGGATGATTTGTTCTCACAGTAATGCTCTCGTGACCCTCCCCCTGTCGTGATAACATTATAGCTAGGGTTAGCGATCCCCCTTTTCTTTCATGTACTCTCTGTAATCTCTTTCCCATATTTTTCTTTCAGAAAATTGTATGTTTTACATAGATATATCTTCTGCTCGTTATCTTGTGTCAGTACAAATGTCAAATTACATTCATTAAATAATCTGCAAGCAAATAAACCTTGACCCAGAAATTTTGCTGCCAAGACTTTAAAGAGCAATAAACACTTTTTATTTTTAATTTGTATATAGTATTTTAAAATATATATTTCTGTATATGATTTTTTGTTTTAATTTACATTAATATTAATCTCTGTATATCATACTTGTAACATTTTTAATTAATAAATATATTCTAGTTATCCTTTTCCTCTTTCATATATTTTTGTTCTATTGTACTAGATTTAGCAACATATATTTATTATAATGTTCTTATAATGTTTCAGTTAAAAACTGTGGAAGTTTATTACGGTCACAGGTGAGGTTTAATTATACAGAAACTAGGAAGAATTTAAAAATTGATGCAAATACCAAAGTGATATGTCAAGGTTTTACTGGAAAGCAAGGGACTTTCCATTGTCAACAAGCACTTGATTATGGTACAAAGATAGTAGGTGGGGTTAGTCCTAAGAAGGCTGGAACAGAACATCTTAGTAAACCAGTATATAAGTCCGTTAAAGAGGTAGTACTACTCTTTTATACTATTTATTTATTTACTATGATATTTAAATTCGATATTTTATAGGCAAAAGAAGCAACTGGGGCTACTGCAACAGTTATTTATGTTCCTCCTCCTGCTGCAGCGTCAGCCATTATGGAAGCAATTGATGCAGAAATGCCATTAATTGTTTGTATTACAGAAGGTATTCCTCAACATGATATGGTCAAAGTAAAAAGACGATTACTTGAACAAAATAAGTCACGTTTAATTGGCCCAAACTGTCCTGGAATAATAGCACCTGAACAGGTACAGAATTAATTTTAGACATATTACAAATTTATTGGTAATAAAATATAATCTTTTTTCATATGTGATGTAGTGTAAAATTGGTATTATGCCTGGTCATATACATCAAAAAGGAAAAATTGGTATTGTTTCAAGATCTGGAACCCTGACTTATGAGGCTGTGAATCAAACAACACTCGTAAGCATATTTAAAAAATTGTAACTTGATCTATTGTATGTTCATCAAATGTGATAACATTATTTTCTTTGAAGGCGGGACTTGGACAAACATTATGTGTTGGTATTGGTGGTGATCCATTCAATGGTACTGATTTCATCGATTGTTTGGATGTATTTCTTACCGACCCAGATTGCGATGGTATTATAATGATAGGAGAGATTGGTGGCAGTGCAGAGGAATTTGCAGCAGAATATCTCATCGAAAAAAATACTGTTGGTTTCTGTTCAAAATTATTGGTATCCAAGTCCCATGTATACAATCCAACCTAATCTAATCCTATCTTACCTTTGTCCTATAAATCTATCATAGAATTAGTACGTCATATTCTACTCACACAGATGCATGTTATGTTGTAGGGTGGAAAAGCTAAACCAGTGGTATCATTTATCGCTGGTATTACAGCACCACCTGGACGAAGAATGGGACATGCTGGTGCTATAATCTCAGGAGGAAAGGGTGGCGCACAAGATAAAATTAATGCACTTGAAAAAGTGAGTTGAAATTTCATAAACCATTAATGCCCATATATCACTGATGTTATATTTTAAATAATTTTTGGAACGAAACAATATATATACGTGAATTCTGTTATCAGGCTGGTGTAATAGTAACAAGGAGTCCTGCACAAATGGGTAATGAACTTCTAAAGGAAATGACACGGCTTGGCTTAATTAATTAAATCACACACTACTATAATTCTGTGTAGTTTCCTTCATATCCATGTAAAATGTCTTTGTGAAAAATAAATTGAAAGTATACCATACAGCAATAACTCACAGAACATAGTAGTGTATTAGAGCATAAAAATTATTTCACTTGCTAATATTGCAACAATTATTCTCAATGATATAGAACATTGATCAATGCTAAACATTACATTGAAAATAATTGATATTTTTTAAAGATCGACTTATTTTAACAGTGAACAACCTTTATGATACTTTTACAGAATTAATTGTTATGTTAACAGTAAAAAAGCAATTGTCTAATAATAATTTACAAATTATCTAAGGGAACGTTAAAACTGCCAATGATCTGTCGCAATTTAACTAATGCAGAGTTATTTTTTCTATAATATGTAAACATAATTCTGAGGAATGGTTGTTAAGTGTATACTGTATTATTATTGTAAATTAAATCAAGTATATAATATATTACAGTAATGAATTTAAACTTTATGAAATATATATCCTTATTGTAAAACATGTTAAGAATTCAAATATATATATATATAAATATTGCTGCTTGTTCCCACAGCTATTTGACTTTTTTTTTTCAACATATAAAACAATCTTCCCATATTCAATGAAGGGCAATACTGCTTCAACATTGTCATCTAAATCCCATTACTTTATCAATAAAATTAGCTATATCAGCACTTTTGTCATTGGTGAATGGCTTTAACTTTGTCAAGTCCATTGTTTGTATGACATGCAACAAATTTTTACAAGTACAATAATATAAATGTTCATCTTTATACAGCTGTTCAGCCAGTTCAATCTGATGATTATCCATGAGAAGATCATTAGTCACCACAATTAAATGTTTGCGTCTTTCCAAAGCTTCCAGAACACTTCCTGCGCCTGCATGGCTTATCACAAGATCTGCCAGTTGCATATATTCTCCGATGGATGGACTTAATCCAAAAATTTCTATTTTATCGAAGCCATAATGTGCGATACAATCTGGTTCTAATTTACTGTTGCCTATTTGCAAGATAAGATGCTTGTAATTACGAGCTGATAGAGCCTAGAACAGTAACATTAATTGTAAACTCTCTAACAGATATACATACAAATGCAATGAAAAACAAATAATCGAATGTTACAGTAAGCGAAAAAGATCCTTGTAAAATGATAAAAATGATTTATTCGTGTTACTTAAAAAAAATTTTTACAAAATTTTACACTTGATACGAGATAAATATGTATTCGGGCGTTCAAGAGACTAAAAACGAATATTCTAAGTGCACAAAGTACAAGCAACGCAAATAGACCTGATATAAATACTATCTACATTACCTCTAGAACTGCACGACTTAATACTGTAGTTATTAAATCATCAAATTTCGTTGTGCCAACTGTAACAAATACAACTTTTTTATCTGACATTATGAATATAGGATATAAAACTAATTTCCATCGGGTGTCGGGCTGTGTAGCTCCGCGGCGAGACGGTTGCTTTACAAGCTGGTTCTACATTAATCGCATCACAGCTGATCACAGCGTCGTAAGCATGTCGCAAGCGTTGCGGTCCAATCAGAATCGAGCTAGCTTGATGTTGATTGGACTGCAATGCTTGCGACGTTGCGATGCGACTAATGAAGAACCAGCTTTCGAACGGGCTTTATCGATACCATCGACTGTCGGTAGACGTAGATTCTACTAATCCGAATGAACATCATATAAGTTGTAAGTCAGTGGTTTAGTACTTACGTCTGTTGAAATTCGGTTAAAGTGCGATCGACGAGGTAGGACGAGATCTATCTCGGTAATCATTGTAAACTATTTACGAAAAATAATTGCAAAATAAGAATGAAGGCATCGTTGGATCCGATATACGTACAGGTATAGCACGTTGTTTTGTAATAACAAGAATTGCACGCGTGACTTAAGTAGATCATTGGTACAACCGGCGAACAAGTTGCATCAAAAATCGTCTTTGAAGTTGCACAATCACTTAAAAAAAATTAATTTCAAATCGTTTTACTCGGTTCCTTACGGAACACCACTTGTTCCGATAATTCTATGAAAATTTTATAGATATGGTCTTGCACGAATAACTTTAAAATATTTATATAATATTGACAATATTGTAGATCAATTAAATTATACGCATTTTTGTGCATCAATTTGTGTGACATCTCACTTTTACATGATCTAAAGAAGTTGTCAAGTATGAAACAAACTGAATATTTTGTGTTAAGTTCTTTGATTTTTGCTTTGATTAAAGAAAATAGTTCTCAAATGTGAAACAAATAATTGAATAACTTTTATTGTGTTTTATGTGACATTTGTCTTCAACACAAAAACTACATGTTTTTAATTTTATAATTCATTTTCGTATATGAATTCTAGGTATTTAACATATATTTAAAAAATATTTAATTTGCATATGTTATATAAAATCTTTGGAAGAAGTAATAAAATATATGTAAATATCTGGTGCTAGCCATTCTTAATTTATGTATAATTTTGAACATTTGTTTATTGACTTTAAATTATTCTTGTTTAAAAATTACTAGTTGAATATAATTTTGTCAAAGAAAATACATTGCTTCTTTTGATATAAAGAATTAAATAAAACGTTCCTGATATCTATTATTGTTCCTACTTTCAGGAATTTTTATTTAAACAGTCAAATACGTTTCAAGTATTTGACTTAAAGACCCCAGCATATATTCCTCCTGCTTGCAATCTTCTTGTGGCTGACAAGAAACGAGGACTACTTTATATAGGACACGGTGATAAAATTACTGTCTTAAAGCCAGCAGAGGAGAACAGTGCAGAATGGAAGATAGAACTTCAATTTCCAGGCGTTATATCAAAGATTGCAATTAATTGTGATTATAATTATATTGCTATAGGCATAGCATTGAAGCCTACAGTATTGATATATGATGCCTATTCACTAGCTAGAAATGTATGCACGTAGCATATTTTTGCAGAAGTCTTAAAAATATATTTTAATGTTTTATCCAGTACTATAGAAATTTCAAAGTTATACATTTATTATTAATTAATACATTAATTTTCAGAGTCTCAACCTATTGCTTGAAATAACACCATCGAGCAAGCTAGATAGCTACATAACAGACATACGATGGAATCCTACTGTACCTGCGATGCTTTGCACCGTTACTAGTGATTGTATTATTGGTAGCTTTCAACTGAAGATAGAAGAAGAAAATCGTGTACCAAAAATATCTGTTCTTTCTAAAGTATCGAACGAGCCACAGGCTTTATGTGCAGCCTGGAGTCCCAAAGGCAAACAAATAGCAGTAGGCTGCAAAAATGGAGACATTGTACAATTGAAACCGGATACTTTGAAGGTCGCTAGAACTATTGCAGGTCCTTCACCGTCCATCGGAGAGGTGATTAATATCCTATGGCTCAGCAATTATCAATTTTGTGCCGCATATCTGAACGAGCGGCACATAAATGTCCTCATAGTTGATGCACCGAAAGGAGAAACAAATGCAATTTTTACATGTTATGAAGATATTACATATGGTTTTCCTGAAGCTGAGGGAGAGGACAGTGTTCCACGCTATTATTTTGAACATATACCGGAATGGGGACTTATTATAGCGGGTAGTAGCACCAGTAGTGAAATAGCTGTGCTAGGTACTACAGATGGTGGTGCGAATTGGAATCAATGGCAATTAGTCGACAGTGGTAGGGCTCAATTACCGCTGATGAGAACTACGGAAATTTATCCCTTGGGTCTGACCGTGGACAAGTCTTCAATTACCAAATTACCATGGGGCCCGGATTCAACGTTGCCATATCCAGTTCCCGTTTTACATATTCTTGGAACGTCTGGGAAATTATGCAGCTTTCACATGGTCAATCTGGCATCCAACTGTCCTGCCATTAATGTTCCTCCTATGGAAATTGTCACGCCTCCAGCTCCGTCACAGTCTATTACTTCACCCATAGAAATGTCGTTCAGTATGAATGCTGCGGTTACCAGCACGCCTCGCTCGAAACAACTGGAGGTAGCACCGGAACGCTTGAAGCCTGCTCCGATGACAAATATATTTGGCGACTCTCTGAAAGCAGCGGGATTCTTTCAACCACCAGTGGAGCAACCAACGGAACAGCCAAAATCACAAGAAGAAAAAACTGTACTGCAGATGGTTGTAAAATCAATTATGCCTAAGGAACCACCAGTGTTAGAACCTATAAAGACAGAAATCAAATCAGTTGTAGATAAAGAAGCAAGCTCGCCACAAGTAGCGGAACAGAAAGCTTGTATAGACGATAACATACGCCTACACGCTTATATGCAGGAGCAGGCATTATTTGAGAAAGAACTGCGAAGTAGGTTAGAACCACAGGTGTGGGAATGTGGTACAGACTTAGAAAAGAAACAGCTTGGAGAGACGTCCGTCGTTATAGAACAGTTTTTGAGAGATTTAAAAGATACGACGAACAGTTTATCCAGTGATATAGCGTATTTAAAGGCTTTGCTGCTTCAGTCATTTGCATGGGTTGAAGAAACTAAATCAAAGAATGCAGCCAGTGTTGATATCACTACTAGAAACTGCAGCGAAAATAGCAAAATAGCGGATCTGCAACGATGGTACTACTATACACAAACACAGCTGAATCAAGTTAGTAAAATTTTGGATCTGGAATGGTCGGACCACAAGGCACACGTAAAATCAAAGATGAAAATTCCCAGCGTAGAGTACGTGTATCAAAATCTTCTAATGCATAATAAAATTATCACAAAAGAAAAAGAGAAGATAGAGCAAATTTCGCGACAGTGGAAGTCTCTCAATCGCTCATTGACGGTTGGTGGTGTGTCCAATCTTAATCGCTCAATGGCGAGTTTGCATGTGAGTTCGCCAAAATCAGCTTCAATCATTCGAGGAAAGACCGACGTTATAGACGCCCGCTGCAAAACTATCGCTTCGAAAACTCTAAGTTTTACACATGAAAAACAATTTAAATTAAGGATGTTGCTCAACGAATCATCTCCAAGAATTATCAAGCCGGTCAATCCGTCACCAATTCAAGATCGTCTGAAGGCTACATTGTCTTCCTTAGCATCTCTTAGTCCTGTGATCAATGAGATCAAAACCAAACCTGAACCACCGATTGTTAAACAGAATATCACCGTCAAACAGTCGATCGAGAAGCAGATGAAATCGCAAAGTCCCCTCGCTTCGTTAAACAGTATCGTTGCGAGAATCGGTTCACCCGACACGAATGGCGTCCTTGCGCAAAACAAAGCCCAACAGAAGCTACTTCAAACGACTGTTTCTTTCTCCAGTGTTGCTTCTACCAAACAAATGGACAAAAAGCCTATCATACCAGCAGCTCTTGCAGTGTCTCAATCTAAACCGAAACAGGATCTGAACGTTAATTTTCCAACTTCTATCACACTTGGAACGTCGGCGCCAAAATCTCAAGATATTCTCTTTTCGAAATCTCTCACAGATGCAACTGCCAGGAACAGTAAGGAATCGACAAGCAGTGATAACGTTCCTAAAGCTCCAGAATCTGCTTTATTTTCAACCGGATTATTAAAACACGTGTTATCAACAGAATATCCGTTAACGGAGACCACTCGTATGGGAATCTCACGTAATCTTTCATCGCTTTCTACGGTGCCAGTAAAAACGGACGCTGCTGTTACGTTCAGTTTTGCTACACCTAACATAGGTGTAGCTCCGTCTGTTGCAAAAACCTCATCCTCTGGTACTGCGCTCGACATGATGTCTTTCGCTTATTCGAAATCCACACCCCACACTTCTACTGTAGAACCCACGATGACAGTTCAAACAATACCAATGCAAACTCCAATAGAACTGTCGACTTTATCCTTGGGATCACCTAGTACATTAACTCTTCATCAGGTTGATGACTTAAGCAACAGCGCGAACAGAAAGGTAACTACAATCACGACTTCCAATAGTTTCGCTGCAGCTGCACCTGTTATTACAGCACAGACTTCTGCGACGACTGCCATTATTACATCCGTTATGACTCTTGGCGAAGTTACCATTAGCGCTATAGACACGAATGCCGTTCGTGGGTCAATGACGGAGATGCCATCCACCAGTTCAGTCGTCATCGAGAAAGTCACTACGCCCGAAGTGAAAACATCCACTTATGGTACTGTAGCTGCTCAGATTCCGATTTCGTTATCCATGGCACCGATATTCAGCGGCCAGACCATCATGAAAAATGCAGCGACAGTATCAGAGACGATCTCACTGCCCGCTACAACTACTTTCGGCGCAGTTTCTTTCCCATTGATTACATCTACTTTCGGAACATCAACCTTGGCGCCGACTATCACGTCAGTATTTAGCGGATTCGCAAACACAGCCAGCGTTACTACTACCTCTTCGACGATGCCTACGAGCAGTACTGTGTCTCCTTTCCAGACTTCCCCAAATAAATTAACGTTCGGAGAGACCACCACTACAAGTATACCAGCCACAAGTTTTGGGATTAGCTCTGCCAA